TGGGGTTGGGGGTGGTGAAGCTGAATTTCCAAAGCCATCCAAAGCACTTCTCTTCCTCACTTAGAGAAGCCTCAGAGCATATGTCAACATCGTATAAAATTATAAACAAACAAGTTCCTATTCATGTAATTTGGTTATGTTTCCTTCCCAATGAAAATTTTCTCATTTATTTGCTCCATAATATGAAAAGACCTAAAGCAACATTTTCCTTCCGTAAACACCATCACAACATTATCAGCTAATACACAGGCTCTCATGAACATGCAAATCCAAAGAAAGCATATTTAAGCTTCTAAATGATATGGTTGACATGGATGTACTATAACTAAGATGACACATAGACTCTCTTTTTTTCTTTTTTTTTTTTTAAAGGGAAGATGATACATAGACTATACACAATCAAGTCTAAGTCATGAATCTCTAAGGATATAAAGCAATTAAAGATAACAAAACAACCATTTCTTGAATAGGCAACATGTGTAAAGTTTGAACTAAAGTGCAAAAGCTAAACGGCAAATAGCAAAAAACCATGGAAAAATGAAAAAGCAGTCTGCTTAGTTCACTGGAAATAAAACTCTGATGATATGTGTAACTTCAAAGAGGCGGTTGCTACCAATCAAAAGAAAAAGAAAAAGAAAAAAAGAGGTGGTCACCAGTAACAGAATAATCCAAACATGATACAATGACATTAAAAAGCAAATTAATCAGTTTGTATTCCAGTAGCATAACTACTCTAAAAGGAACTGGGATTTAAAAGACAAGAAGATATTAAGATAGATACATAATCCATCAAACATTCCATCTAGGAGGAACAACAGTAGTGGCCTATTGTGCACTTGGCCATTCAAAAATCAAATTAATACAACTGTCAACTGCTGCTACTTGTCACCAGTGTCTAATGAATCTTAACCAAGTGATGTACATTCTTGACACGTCATTTCTACTTCCTGCTTTGTTACTCAGCTAAGATGCAATTAAGATTAAAAACAGAACCAGACTGGCATATTATCTAACTGCATTGAAGCTCTTTTTCGCCAATCAAACATATTGACATCCTATTTTAAAGCAATCCCAGATCAGAATGCGAACCAAAATCTATTCATTGATACAGTGATTTTCCTATAAAATTAGAGTTGCATATGCCAATATCTCCTTACCACTCACATGTTATTCTTTTTCCAGATATGCACAAATAAATTAACTATCATATAGGTCAACCTATTACAACAAAGCATAAACTAACCTCAAACTAGAACATAATCTCAACAGAACAGATAACAAGAGACTACCATCATTTTCAAAATATAGAATTTTCACAATATCTCACATCTAAGGAACAATATAATAACTGTTATTTGATGAGAAAGATCAAGTGCTGCATAGACAGGAAAGACAATATCTGAAAAACTAGAAACACAGCAACTCGGCCTTTGGGAGAGAGTAAATACAAGCAAATTTGTCAAGGAAAAAAAGGAAGAAGAGAGTTAGCAAAAGCAAGTCCATTTAAACAAAAAAAAAAGTTGTGAAATTTCTGATAATTGCTCTCTAAGATGAATTTTTGCCACATCAAGACAGACATGGTCAAGCAGAGATTACCAACTTCTTAATATGGTTAGTAATTATCCCTAAGGTGTTGATGCCAGCACTTTTTTTTTTTTCATTTTTTGGAGGAAATCTGATTTTTCACTACATAGAAACCATCTTGTGCTATATCTATGACAATAGTTATAACCGGATAAGTGATCCAAGAGTGAATTCCACACATAACAAGTAGTAGTAAATGCCCTAAATAGCAAAAACTGAAAGAGTTTAGACATCTTTCTAAGACCAAACAATCATGAGACTGGTTCATCACTTCATCTAGAACACCCAACTTGGCAAAAGACCACATTTTGGGAAGTCAAGCAATGAACTGCAAATATTTAAAGCTGCACAAGGAAAATGCAGCATGCACTGCCTACTTCCATTGAGAGGCATTTGTATTTATCATATCAAAATGCCTAGATTGAAACAAAAGGGGCATGATGACAACAAGGTAGATATGACACTATGACAGGAATGCCTGAAATCAAATAAGATGAGACAGAAAAACAGATGAAATAAAAAGAAAAGGAAGAAACACAAAGTGAGATGGCATTAATAATAACGAAGACTTGCTCAATGGATGTGGAACGCTTAATATCTACAAGTACAATGATACAGGGTGTTTGACCTCATTGTCCCCAACTTTACCTTTCCTTCCCCAACAATCAAGTTTACTGCACCCCTGCACTTCTGGACCATCTGCACATCCTCACCTCTATAAGAATTTGAATTTCTATGTAAACAGCTGACCTTAGTTCTTTCTCTCACTAGTTTGTATCTAGGATGCCCCATCTGCAAACCGTCAACAAACATCCTATCCTGGAGGGATCCAGGAGAACCATGAATGATATCTTGCGTTGAAGTTTCTTCATAAGGAAATAATGCATTTTCAGCAGGAAATTGATAATCCTGATGCCTTAAAATTAATTCATCGTCTGTCCAATGCTGTCCTTTAGATCGCTGGCTATAGCTTCTTTCCCATGGACAAATCTGATTATCATCAGATATGAAATCATCCTCGGTGTCATCAACATCATTATAGCCCCCATACCAATCACTCTCTCCAAATTCCTCATGACATGTTTGTTTCCAGCGCCTAGAGTGTTGTTTACTTAATCTAGAGCCATAGAATTTGTTTCTTGGAGAAAGTCTATGATGCCATCTTCCTCGGTGAATCTTTGAGAAGAAAGATTTCGAACCTGCATCTCTGTGATAGGCATCTTCAGTTTCCATGGACCATGAATTATTCATATGGAAAGCAGTATCACAATGTTGAAACCTTCTGGCAGAAACTTTCACTTCTCTCTCAATTACTGGTAGGCATTTTTCATATGTTTTGACCAACAAATCTCTTTCAAGGTCTGTGAATGAAAAAGCTCGCTTATACGTGTTTTGCTGCTGCTCCTTTTCATCTTTATGATCAAACAGATAGCCAGCATGATCAGTTATCTTCCTAAGTTTGACTCTGTCATTTCCCTTTCTCCATTGATTATCTCTTCTTTTCAAAGTGGAGGAATACCCTGACAATGATCCCCTGGAATCCCTGTATGGATTTCTAGTCATGCCATCTTCAATATATGTACCAGCTTTTCTTTTGTTAAAGTACTCAGATACATTCCAATTCTTCCGAACATATTGATCTGACTGATCTCTGGGTCTATGATGAGCTCTTAAATGGGGATGTTTTCTGTGAACAGCTTGAAAATGGTTATAAGCAAACCTTTCACCATTATAACAGTAAGGTCCCCTTTTCCTGTAATATGAGCAATGTTCTCTGTCATAATTGCCAAAATTATGAGGTCTTTCCTTTTGTCTCCCACATGCAAAAGAAGAGCAGTCCTTATCATACACTCGAGAAATGGGAAAAGTATTCTTGCAGTTCTCAGCGTCCATCTTGGTCAGACTGCTATGTCTACCACTATGATTCTTGCTATCCTTTTGATCTGAACTTCTATTTCTTGGATATGTTTTCTTCTCGCCCTTTTCATCTGACATTGGCAGAGCATTGTACTCACTTTCAAGGTGGATCTTTTCTTTACCAGAACCATGACATTCCCCAGTTTGATGCTTCTGTGTGTCTTGACTGGGACAACTACATCTTGAATGAGGCTTGTCATCATCTTGCTTTCTTTTTCTGCCATCTCTTCTTGAAGTCTTATAATCTGATGCTCCTGAGTCCTGCAACTCATTGCCTGAATCTTGTGGTTGCCTTATTAAAGGACCTTGAACTTTAATGGAATCACCATCAACACTTTCATTGGATTGAATGTCAGAATCACTTTCAAAACAAGAAGTAGAAAGACTTAGATGACTCGAGTTGCCAAGTGATGATTCTTTGACAACAAAGCACGACTCTGACAGGCGTGTATTTGTGATAACCACTTCCTTTCCTTTCTTTGTTGTTTCTGTTGCTTCAGCAGTTTGTTCTGATGTGAGAACTTTCATCTTTCCATGGCAATGTCCATCGTCATCAAGGCTCTTATCATTTCCAGCATTGTCAGTATCTAAAGACTTCTGATCAGATGGAGTTTTAGGCAGCAAAGACCTAGCCATATCAACCACAAAACTTTCACATTATCAGTCACTACTATAAGAGCACAAAATTGCACATAATCTGTTCAATTTAATCCCTAAATATAAGTTGTCATCAGTAACTTCTTCCATAAGAATTAAGAACCAAGCAACAAACAAGAACACATACAAAGAAGTGGACAGTTTCCATTGAGCTCCACAAATTAATATTTGAATTTTGAGTTAATAACATGTTAAAGAGCTTGTATAAAATGCAATTATTCAGACCTTATTGATGCATAAGATGCAACAGTTTTAACTTTCTCTTCTAGATAGACGGCATGCAGGTCATCCTCAGCAGGATGGCTCGTGACATGGAACTTTTCATTATCCTCTGCATCTAAATTCCCTTGTTTTGATACTTCATGTGCACTTTGACCTGTCTCCCCATTGACAGAACCAGAGGGCACCAAAATGGAATCCTGCAGAGGGATCTGACCCCACAAAAGTGTTAAGGCAGAAGTAAAAAATACATTAAGGCTAGTTAAACTATTCTTTCCCCAAAGTGGTAATTGGATTGCGAAAAATGTAAAGGAAAAATATTGGAAAACAGATACGATCAAAGAGAAGTAATTTATATTCTCTTATGATGGTATGATTCTAAATCACCTCTACTAATATAAATTATGTTAGTACATATGTAAGGAAAGTGACAGCACACCTGTATAACAACATCAGAATCCTGGAAACGTGGAGACCAGAGATCCATTGATATTTGGCGCTCACTTATGCTCTCTTTGACCTGAATTGCTCTTCCTTGCAGCTGAAAGAATGTTCTAAGCAGTTAAAAGCAAATTAATTGCAGGTTTGAGAAGACAAACTATATTAACTAACATAAAGAATACATGATGTGAAAGGAATTTATTTATGCAAGGTCCAAGCACCTCTCCCTCAACCACCAAATTTAGATGAAGATCAAACTTTAATTGAAATTCCTTTTTATAAATTCTCAAACTACCTTTCTATGCCAATATGCAACTTTAGACGTGCATTATCATACAAAAAAGAGAATTAGAAAAGCTATACAACTCAAAATACTTATCCAGCTAATCACCTGAAGTATGAAGAGTCTAACTTAATATGATATACCTGGTTTAGTTTCAAAGAATCAGGAAGCGTGATAGTTTGCATGGATGCTTGTCGCCAACAGTTTTCCTGCAATGCAACTCCATTAAAGGTTCAATATGAAAGAAAATCTGCTGCTGGGAGAAAAAGAACAAAATAGATAGGGAAAAAAACTGCTGAAAGCAGCTGGCTACATGCTCTACCAGAAGAAATAGATGTGGCATAAAAATAGTGGTATCCAGTAATAACAGACAAATATGCGTGTCAGGATACCAATGCTCAAGAAATGACTCCAGGACAATTAGCACAAAAGCAACCTACTTACAAGGAAGTTGCAGTACCGTTTCCACCTGTCCTCATTGAAACCAAAGTTGAAGAAATCAGTTATATCTGCTCCAGAATACCTCCATGGTTTCTCCTCAAGGGAATTAAAATCCACATCCAGTATATTCCTGAAGGAAATAACACAAGCATAACATATCTTCTTAAAATCCTTATGGAGGCTAGAGCTCCCTAAATGTATAAAGGAAGAAAGACCGGAAGAGAATTATCTTGCGTGAAATAACAAAGTCAACAACTCATGATTACCAAAATACTAGAAAATTCTCACATGACAGACCATTTCCATAACTAATCAAATTTTCAATGTACATTTTACATTAAGTAGAACTTACTAACCTACACCACGGATGAGAGAAACCATATCCATACTGAGGAAGAAGCGAACTGGCAGTAGCATATAAATTAGCAACATGACCTGAGCTCCCACCCTCCCTACCTGATATGGTACAAGAGGATTTTGATCCACTGATTCCCATATTTCTTCGATTTGCTGATCCATGAGCTCTTGCTTGCTGGACGTTAGCCTGCAAACAGAAATTGCTCATCAACCAAACCATTATCAAGAAAAGGGATTCTGGGTGTTATTCCTAGGACGAAAATGCAATACCTTGAACTGAGAAAGGGACACATCCATGGTTCTTTTTGCTCTATTAAGCACATTACGATTCAGCTCCAACCCATCACCAACAGGGTCCCCCTGCCTCTGATTCTTCTTCAAACCAGTCCCCTCAATAGTAATATCCCCATCCTCCCCCTCATAACCTCCATGACTCCTGGCACCAGTCACCGGCAACTTCCCGCAATCATCGTCGTTCACAACTATGTTCAGTTCATCCTCACTATCACTTTCATCAGTCATTTGGTTGTGTCCATCAGTACCGGACAGCAGTTTCTCCCCGGCGGTAATGTTAATGTCTTTGTAATCGTACTCCGGTTCAATGTACATTGATTTGATTGCAAAGCTCGCCTGAGCTTCAACGTCGGCGTATAACTCGCCAAAATCGTCATCGATGGAATCCATTTGTACAGTAGTTTGAAATTTAGAGTTATTTTTTTGGCTAATTAAACTCCATTTGGATTAATGTAAATGGAGAAAAACCCCAAAACAGTAGGAATCGAAAAACCCTAGTCTTCTGCTTCTCATCGCCTTAAACCCTCACACAGTAAAACCGTATTCTCATGAGGGAGACGGAGGAGGTTCTGGAATAGTGAAGTACGTGATGTTGGACCGTCAAATGGGCTCCATTTGGATTTTGGACCCTAAATATGGACTCTTATTTGGGACACTAGAACTAGATGGTTTGAAAGATGGGCCCATTGGCAGTGTTAATTCAAGTGATATGCTTGGCATTGGATTGGTCGGTATCAGGGAATCTTTAGTTCCATTTAGCATCATTAATGTTTTTTTGTTTTGATTTTTTTATAGGTTTTTCTAATATATATATCTTAACGTATAGGTTAAGAGCACTTTTTTTAATATTAATTATCATTAAAAAAATAAAACTTAACATTTATTTAATTAATTATTTAATTAAAATAATACATATAACATTACTGATAAAATTAATGTTAATTTTTATTTTTTTTACATTAATTAATATATATTTTTTATACTTTTAATTTGTACTGTAAATACACAAATTAGATGCATCTTTTTTATATTTATGGAGTTATGAATTTTTAAGTCCAAAGCCTAAGTAAATTATAATTAAAGGACAAGGAACTAGTTAGACAAAATATAAAGGGCCTTTTTTTCTGTCATTAAAAGACTTTTTTTTGTCTTCTATATATATATATATATATTTTTTTTTTTTTTGACAAGGTAGATGGTTAGAAAGTTAGTAAAGTTAGTTTGTTAGCAGTTGAAATTTTTTCAGGAAAGTGAACGTTTCACCTCCTCATTTTGAGGCGCGCAACTATTAAGTCGCAAGTTGGTGGAGTTCACAGCAGTAGCAGAGCTCGAAACCTTAACCTCTGCCTCATCCAAACCCTAAAGTTTGGGGCCAACCAATTGGCCAAAATCCCGATTGGCTTTGTCTTCTATATTTAACCATGTTAAAAAAAATGTTTTTGATTATTGTTCTTTCCAAAGTTGCTTTTGAGACATTTCGGAGAGAGGATGCATCTTACTAAAAATATATAATTATTGAGTCACAAAATTTAAATATTTTTTAATTTGTAATTGTGTTTTATTATCAAATAATAAATTATATAATAATCAATAA